AAGGCGGTATGGGTCATTTTGACCCCTGAACACTTTTGACCATTGATTACTTTTGTTTTTTTCGAAGAAATCATTTGGAATTTTCTGACTTCTCCTAAATAGATAACAAATATTTGTAAAAAAATTTTCATCATTCTAGGTTTGTTGGTTTTTGAAATATTGGCATGTATTCCTAGAACGAACGGGGAGTCATTTTGACTCTCAAGGCATTGTCAAATAACCCATGAAAAACATTCATTGATAAGGATTTTTCGATTGCATTCATACTATCTCCCAGAGGGATAAAAACCTAGGTGGTCTCACTACTTTGTAATGTCTACATAAGTTGTTCCTTTGTTTGCAATTATCTATTCGTGTGAAGAAAATACTGCAAGGACGGTAGATGCAGGGTTTTTCATGCTTACATTTCTTTTCAAAAATAGTTTATTTTACAGGTGTATTTTCCCGTTTATTAGTTCAGCTTACTTACTGCAGGTGATAACCGTTAGGACAGATGTTGTCTTGGTAATCCCAAATCAGTATTACAGTACATATGAATTCTGCTGTCAAGTTCATTATCACCTTTCCTTTATGCTGTGAGAATCACATGCTAAAATATATTCCCTATAGTTTTCTGATAGTCTGACATTTTTTTTTTTACTTTTTTCAACTTTTACAAAATATGTCTAATAAGCAGAAAAGAGGTCTTACGGATGAAGAAATTAAAAAATTGTTGCAGGTGCTATATGAAAATGAGTCTGATGGAGGTTAAATTGATAGTTTTTCTGTAGAAACTGAAGATGAATTCCAAACACAAACTATTAGTGAATCCGAGAACAACAAAGTAAACAAAGAAGAACTCGGCAGAAATAAACAGGCAAAAACAGATCAGGGTATTTGCAAAACTGTTTTTATAGCTCCTGATAACACCATATGGAATGAAATAAATTCGAAAAATTCAGTCTGCGGCTCCTGCTGTTCCTGCTTATAATGTTCTAAAAGAAACAACAGGACTGACATCTTTTGCAAAGAGTCGTGTTTCTGAGGACAAAGTGCCTAGTGCTTTCAAGCCTTTTATTGATGATGATATCTTGCTGCATATAAAAAAAAATATACAGAATCCAAAGCTCATCAGCAACTTGGCTGATGAGACTGGAAGTTATCTCTGGCTGAGTTAGATGCTTTTATCGCTAAATTCCCCCTGGGGATGTTTCTGGCTAGATTTATATCTTGACAGAGCATCCTAAGGGTAAATAATTATGAACCTGGCGGTTCCAGAACCCCAAGGGAAGGCCGTCTGTACGGCTGGACCAAGGGGGGGAAAGGCTATAGGGCACCGTGCTGGTGGTATTGGTAGCAGGCGAGGCTTGCCTCTGGACCTGTATTCAGTGTAAACCCATGATATTGGTAGTGGTGCGTGCCACGGTCAGTCCGTGGTCATCACCAGTATTCCATGTCAAACCCTCAGCCGGTGGACTGCCCGCGTAGTACTGGCGAGAGCAATTAACGACCGGTCAAACTGTCAGGTCAATATTTTTACCCATCCATGGTGAAACCTGAGAACCGGGAATGGTGACCCCGCGCGCCCAGGCGCACCCGTGGACATAGAGGAAAACCTAAAAAGTCTGCCATTCCGGGTTGAGGCCCCGGAGTCGTAGCAAAAGTTAACCTAGGATTCTCTTGGGGAAAAGTTGACTGTGATCCTCCCCTTGCCTGATATGGGGGTTTTCAGCCTGGGTCCAGTCCGTGTAGTACCAAATGAAGGTGGGGCACATACACTAGATTATTATTATTATTATCGCTAAATTGTATGTCTGAGGGGTAATAGGAGGAAAGAGCTTAGATTTATATTCCTTGCGGTCCACGTGGGGAATATTGCAAAGAAACTATACCAAGAGATAGATTCAAAGAAATAAAACGATTTTTAAGGTTCGATAAAAAGACAACAAGATCTACTCGATTACAGACTGATAAACTTGCTCTTGAATCAAACATGGAACAAATTTATTGAAAACTGCAAAACGTGCTACCAGCCACGACAAAATATTACAACTGATGAACAATTATTCTAATCTAAAGCTAGGTGTAGATTTACACAATATATGCCTAATAAATCTGAGAAATTTGGAATCAAATTTTGGTTATCTGTCGACGTTGATACTAAATACCTCTTGAATGGATTTCCTTATCTAGGAAAAGATGAAACAACAAATCCTCAATTACAGTTGTCTGAAAATATTGTCATAAAATTAACAGAGCCACATCTAAACAAAGAGAGGAATATTACCATGGATAACTGTTTTACTAGCATTAAATCAGAGAAATGCTAAAATAAAAAATACAACTATGGTTGGCACAATCAAAAAGAACAGAAGAGAAATTCCTATATCTTTGAAAAATAGGCATAGTAATCTTTATTCATCGACAATAGTGGAACATGATAATATCACACTTAACCCTCTATCAAGGCGAAAGAAACAAAAAGAGTTTTTCTACCATTAGCTCATTACATTCTACTGTAAAAACTGAAGAGAGTCTCAAGAAGTTGCCCGGTTTAATAGCATTTTACAATGCAACAAAGCATGGTGTGGATATTCGTGATCAGATGTGCCGAAAATATTCAGTTAAATTGGCTTCTAGATGATGGCCTGCATATATCTTTTTCAATATTTTGGATCACGCAGCTTTGAACACCTGTATAATTTATAAAAGTGTAACAGGAAACACCATTAACAGGAGAGATTTTCTACTAAAATTAGGAGAGTTAAGAGTGGTGCATATGGCTTCAAAACTGCCAAAGATCCTTCCTAAGACTTCAGAAAAAACACATGAAATGAAAATGGATATAAAGAGAAAAAAGTGTCGAGTACAGAGATGCTATGAAAACAAATCTCAAGAATATTGTGCATCTTGTTCCAAAGTTGTGTGTGGGAAATGCACTGGAAAAATTGTTAAAAATTATTTTTGTATCAACTGCATTAATTCTTAATACGTATGTGTAATCTCTAATATTTTAAACATTAAATAGAACTGAAATGAAATGCTTTACATATTCCATTCAGCTACACATATAATGATATAACTGAAACATCAGAGAACATTTCTCATTTCCGGATTTAGAGTGAATCATCCTCCGAGTAAGTACATAAAAAAATATTATTATATAAACCGTGTTTATTATTGTTAACATTAGTTTTAATTTGTGAAACCATTTATTTGAAATCAATTCTAATATCAAATTAATGTGTTATTTGAGCAACTGTAGTATGATCCAATTGATCACTATGTACTCGATACATTTACAGTATTTTAAAAAGTCAATAAATTATGTGATATTAAATATAAATTATGAAATACATATAAAGTACATATTTGTGCCAATGTATGGCATTTAAAATTGTTTTACAGTTGTTTAGTACTTTCATTAAAGGGTCAAAATGACCCCTTACCACTATTCCAGTAGGTAAGATTTTCCCGCCGTTCTATTGTTAAAAGGCATATTGCACAAGCAAAGGGTGTGTGCTAACTGTTCACAACATGGCAAACAAAAGAAATATCACTAATACAAATGATACCTGCCACACATCTAACTGATACTGTCATAAAAAATTGCCAGGTTCCCGCAGATGCAGAAATTTTCAGCAATAATTATGACACAATGCAATGGACTTCAACCAAGGCATGTAGAGACACATTTGCCTTGCATATTATTCCTGTAGTAAACGATACACAGGGGTTTCATACAAGATAAACACCCAGCAATAATATCAGTGTGAAAATAGCAAATTCCAAAGCTAAAAAACATGAAAATTAAAAGATAGTCATGCCAATATGCACTTATTGTTCTTAACATTAAATCAATTTTGGCAAATAACTATACAGCATTTTTGTATTTTAGAAACATTCTTCAACCATCCACACGCACATCCTATGATAAAAGAAAATATATTTGGTCATCCATAAAATTCTGCAGTTTTTTACAATAAATATAAATGAAAAGTACAAAACATAAAAAAAATTTCACCAAATCACATTTACAACATATTGTTCTATGAGTTCTTGTCATCTCTCTGGCAGCTGGAAAACTCTTTTTTTTAACAAAGTCATTAGGTTTATTCATAGAAAAGTTATCAAGGTGCTGTTTGACAGTGTCCAAAGTAAACTCCAGGTCACGCAGGAAATTCTGAAGTGACCACAAGAGATCAAAAACTGAAGGGGCAAGGCCACGTGAACATGAGGGAGGGGTGATGCAAAGCATCTCACCTGCTCAATAAGTTTCCCTGGCATTCAGCAAAATATTAGGCCAAAAACTGTCATGAAGGAAGACAAAACCTTGACAATGGTTATCAAAGTAATGCATTCAAAACCAATTGACATCTGCTTTTAGAATTGCCATTTGGCAAGAGTATTTTTCTGAATTTATTGTTTGATTTGGTAGCAATAATTCACAGCATAAAATTCCTTTGCAGTCCCAAAATATGCAAAGCATTACTCTTTTGCAATGCACCATCTTCTGTGTAAAAGAGGTTCATTTGGCTTACTCCATGATATTTTTCTTGCAGCATTATTTTATAGTATCTACTTCTCATCTCCAGTAATGAATCGTTTAAAAAATAGAACATTCTTAATTTCTTTTCAGCAAAGAACCATGTGCCAAAATTCGAGCAAGCATATTCTGCTGTGGAGTACCCATACACTGTAGCAGCTTATATATCTACTATTCTAACAGCTTAATATAAAGAAAATGAACTTTGGATTTATTACATTACTAAAAAATTATTCTACAATGCATGCTAGAATTACACAACATGAGCAGAGACTATGAATAAACATCTGGTTTGATCAAGATCATTCCTTACCAGTAGCGATAAAACCATGAGGGAAGAAATGTAGTTCAATTTGAAAAACTACAGAACTTTCCGGATGAACCAATACAAACAAAACGGAAATATGTCTTAAATGGCTTTTCTGAAATGATTTATTATGTAAACCAACAATAAAATTCATTCTAAAAGGCTCACCTTTTCAACATGGAAAACTAGATCTAATTCACAGACATTTCTAAAGCACTTATCCAACGTTTCAACGAAAACCTAAAATGATATACAGAACCGGATACATTTAAAAAATACTTACAACATGCAAACACAACAAGGAAAAAGGAAAACAAGAAATTTAAATATACTATTACATTCACTGAGATTTCCAAATGCTACATAAATAAAAAATAAGGTTAGATAAACTTATTATAAGTAAAATTGTGTTATAAAGACATACTATTCTACTTATATACAGTCAAAAGTCGTTAATCCGGACTCGTCGGGACTTCGGCGATTCCGGATTATCGATTTTTTCGGATTATAGATCATCAGTTTAAATCGCGTAAGATGGCATGCAGAAATTCTAAAATTAAAAATATGAAACCGTAATTTATGAAATAAAGAACAATTATGATCTATGTCCCGAGAATACCGACTAACTTGTCAATCGAAATTTTTCGTTTTCACTAAACTCTCTGTCACATTCTTCATGTCTTTATCCATTTTTTGCAGCAATTCCACTTTTTGTTTGATGTACATCGAAACATACTTTCGTTTCGTACGATCCTTTGGGAGCTCTAGAATCAAAAATTCTATTTGACATAATCGAAAGTTCAAGTTTACTTTTATAGTATTGCTCTTACAGTCTGCAGAAAATAATAAGCCGGATCCAATTCGAAAATTAAGGAACAACGCAATCATCAACATTAACTGAAATAGATAATTAGATAATTTTAGCTTACACATAAAACGCCCACGCGAAAACGTATTCTGCGCTTGCGCACACGCAAATGTGCAGTGATGCTAAAGCAAAGTTTAAAGAAATTAAACATTTAGCAGTAGTAGCAATAAAAGCTCCCTGAGATATGTTGTGATCCCTGAGATATATTGAAGACAATAAAAGATTTTGAACTTAAACAATTTATTAACAATATAATAAAGAATAAAAACACAGAAAATAAATGTCAACAATATCAGAGTCTCAGGAAAAATATAATATAATCATCATTCATCAAACAATATTTTTACCTGGTCTCCAAAACACTGGCAATCTATACAAACAAAAAGTCCTAAACAGTAATTATGCGGCCTAAAATTGAAGCTGGCTACACATTCAATAAGTCCATAATCAATGGTCAAGAAAACACCTAAAATTTAAATCAAGTTCTTGAAAACACTTAAAACCGGCCTAACTCTGTTTGCACAAGGAATCGCCGCTCACCTATTTTAATTGCCGCCTTTATTGAAGAACATGGATGCCGCCCACAGCAGTCACTCACATGGTAGCCTCTGGAACCAAGGAACTTTATTCTGGAACAGCCATCCCCCAAACCGGAACCAACCAAGGAACTTTATTCTGGAACAGCCATCCCGCAAACCGGAACCAAGGCACTTTATTCACTGGACTGCATGCATCCTTCTGAAGGGGCTGGAAACCGCTCACTCAAGTGCCAGGAAAGCAGGAACTAGAAGGGTTGAGCCAGAGCGACGCGAGATACTTATAGCAGAAGTAGGAATGACGTCATCTCACGGCAACCAATCAGCTATCGGCACGAATCGGCTTTTCAGATGACGTAACATCATGTTTCGTTTTTGCATCTCAATTAGGTTGAAACAGTCCGTTCTCAATGCAAACAGTGGCAGCAAGAAAAAGAAGTAGAAGTAACTACTATATTACATTAAAATAAGGACTAAACTAAATAAACATTTCAAGGAGGAGAGATGATGCAGTAAAAGGTTTAAAAATAAGCTATATTTTCCAACAAATGCCCCCCACATCATCATCTCCGACCTGAAATAAAAACCGAATGCCAGTATCTTTACAAAATTCAAAACAAGAATAAATAAAACAAGAATAAATATCACAATTTCATTCAGAAATTTTTAAGAAAATTTTTCTTTGGGAAAATCTTATCCCATTATTCAAAATTTTAATTTCCACCGTAGCAAGAAAGTCCAACATGTTACGAAACAATACAAAGACATATATATGATCACACACTCAATACTTTTACCCAGGGCCCTGGTCACTCATACAACATTCTACACTATACAGTTTTACATTTACCTAATATCCATCATAATATGACTTATAACATATTATTTTCAAATAAACAAAACTCTTAATTTAAATACACACAAAAACAAATTTCATAAGAAAATTGTTCCACAAAATCTTATCAGGTTATGCTTAGTCAGCGGTTTTGTCATGGGATCAGCCAGATTATCTTTACTTGGAACATATTTTAAATCAAAAATTTCCCTGTTCAATAGATCACGAATGAAAAATAGTTTCACATCTATATGTTTTGTCCTTGAGTTTTCAATGGGTGATTTTGTAAAACATATAGCAGCCATGTTATCAGCAAACAATATAGGTTTTGCCTCGAAACATAGTTACTTGCAATTTTAAACTGAATGCATTCATCCAAAATATTTTTAAACCAAACTAATTCTTTTGCTGATTCAGTCATGGAGATAAATTCAGCCTCCATAGTAGATAAACTCACTCCCCTTTCTTTAAATGTACGCCAAGATACAGGTGATTCTCCCAACAAAGCTATTTTTGTCCACCAATAGACACCATATCATCCCTGCTTGAAGCAAAATCCGAATCTGAATATATATTGAGCTTCAGTTCCTTGCATACCAGTTTGAAGTTTGTGCTGTCTGGTATTGGAAACGTATCCCTAAAAGTTTAAGTAATCCTTCCCAGTGAAACTTACCAGGATTGCTTTGGAACTGAGAAAATATATTAACAGCATAATCTATATCCGGACAAGTACGATTGCAAAGAAACGAGAGACATCCCAAAACATTTCTATAAGGATAATTCATCATTTCATTCGTTTTTTCTTGTGTACTGGGACTTGGAGACTTTGAGTATTTCACACCTTTAACTATTGGAAGGGAAGTAATTTGTATTTTAAAAGACTTAAATAGATCAACTATGTCTTCTATATATAATTGCTGATGAATTAAAACACTATTTTTTTTCTCATATTCAAACTCCACACCCAGAAGCTTTCTTGTTTTACCTAAAATTTTCAAATCAAAATGTGAACTCAGGACTTTTAATATCCTTTTGGCCTGAACTTCACTTTTCCCAAACACAACTATATCATCAACATAAACCAACAGAATGACAAAATCTTTAAAACGATAGACACAATTACACCACTCAAACTTGATAAACCCTAGGTTACATAGTGTTCTATCCAACTCGTAGTACCATAATCGCCCACTCTGATGCAAACCATACAAGGCTCTATCTAAGCGACACACAAAAGTTTCTTTATCTCTCGCTCTACAAAACCCTGAGGTTGGGACATGTAAATTTCCTCTGATAAAGGAGCGTAGAGATAGGCACTTTTTACGTCGCATTGTATATTTGCCCATCCAAGGTGTGCAACTAAAAGGGAGAAAAAGAGCCTTATTACTGAAAAGTTGACTACAGGAGAGTAGGTTTCATCATAGGTATCGTATTTAATTTGCCGATAACCCTGAGCCACTAAACGAGCTTTAAAACGAACAATGTTTCCAAATTCGTCACGTTTAATGTTGAAAATCCACCTGCAACCTAGTGGAGTCTTGTCTTTAGGAAGTGGAACAAGATGCCATACCTTATGCTTTCACACGTTGGCCATTTCCTCTTCCATTGCCTCTATCCATTTAAGCTTTTCTGCAGATTTCATTGCCTGGTTATAAGTGTTTGAAATTGAAACCTCTAGTCAGCTATCTCGGATATACGACGTTGAAGGAGTACCAGTTGGGTCGATTTCACCACTATAAGTATTGCTTCCCTTGAAATCAAACAAGGTAGGATCATACTGAATATTATGTTCAGTGCAATACCTTTCTACATCATTTGGTGATCGTAGTCTTTGATTAGACCCCTTCTCAAAATAATACACATCCGTACGAGTGCCGTCTGGCCTTGGAACAGGTTTACGAAGCCAAGTTACTTGTCTCAATGTAGATTGAGTATCAGTGCCAATAATAGAAGGTACATTGGTATCGGTTCTTTCCTCTATTTCAGGAAAATAGCCAACTGGAGTATCATTAGATTGGAACTCTACCCTTTCTTCACATTCCAAATCAGGAAGGGTGCCCAGTGCAGCTCCACTGCCACTTTTCTGCATTCCAATTGACTCTTTAAAAGTAGCATTTAGGGTTTCTACTACCTTTTGCTCATTTTCCAACCAAATCTTGTACCCTTTTGTTCGTACACTGTACCCAATCAATCGGCCCTTCGTTGCCTTTGGATCAAGTTTAGAATTTCTTTTAGCCTTTGGAATTCCCACATAGGCAATCGTTCCAAATGCCTTAAGATGACGTACTGATGGTTTCTGCTTAGTGTATAATTCAAATGGGGTCCTATCTTGGCCCTTATGACAGATTCTATTAAATGAATATGCAAAATACATTACTGCATCTGACCAAAATTCAGAACTCATTCCACTATCATGCAAGATTGCACGTACATTGTTGAGAGCTGTCTGATTAAATCTCTCACAAACTCCATTCTGTTCTGGAGTGTAGACATCTGTAAATTCGTGCTTTACACCATTTTTATTACAATATGACCTGAATTGATCATTATCATATTCTCGCCCATTGTCAGTCCTAAAGTATTTCAACTTAAGGTTCAAAGATCTTTCCGCACGTGCTATATGCCTTTCAAATACTTCAAACACCTGACTTTTCTCTCACAATGGGGTACACTACCACATAACGAGAATATTCGTCAATAAAGGAAACGAAATAACGTTCACCATTCCTACCTGGAATGTTAATAGGTCCCCATACATCAGAAAAAAACCCTTTCAAGCGGTCTCTTTACTTGAATACCTTCTAAGGGTCTATAGGAATTCGTCTTTGCTTATTGATTTGGCAATGTTCACAAAACAAATTAGGTGAGTGCTTTAACACAGGAAGACCTCGAACTGAATGTCTCTTACTAGTCCTGACAATAGCACCATAATTTATATGACCAAACTGACCATGCCATAATTCACTATTATTATGCTGAACTGTGGATGCCTCAAGTTTTA